TGTTGTTATACTTAATACACTTCAAATGTCATCTGTACTTTGTGTAATATGTATATTATAATTGTGAGAAATTATTCCATACAACACTGTCTTAAAAGATATCGTAAAAAGACGTCTACATCACAAGAAATGCCTTCAAGATGCCGTTCAGAGAACTGTGTTCTACGGGACTTTTCAAATAGAGATACTTGAAATATTATTTTTATTTCACTTCTTTTTTTATGGCATTATTTTTAGTATCGTTTTTCTGCAAAATATACTTGACGCCTTTTTTTTACATTTTTAACGTTTTTTCCGATAGATTTCACGAATTTCTGCTAAGTATTATTTTCGTTATCATTTTCATATATTTACAAAATTGTTTGATTATGTAAAGATATTACAAAATATACTTGATGCCTCTTTTAACATTTTTAATGTCTTCCGGTTGATTATCATTTTCTAACTTAATTAACAAATACCAGTATATAATTTAGGTTTCGTACAATCCCCTTTTGTTAAACATTAAATTATAAATGAATAAATATTGTTCGAAATAAAACGTTATTTCATTATCATTTTCCAGTTTAATTAAAAACTATCAGCTTATAATTTCATTCTGTCTGATCTCTTCATATTAATCAGTCTTTATCAATTTACTCATGTATGCTCTCACTCGAATGTAGACAGGTGATAAATATCATAAATAGCCAAATAAAAACATAAATAGGTGAATAGATGAAACATTGGAAGATGAATAGATAACATCAATAGGTGAATAGATAATATAGATATATGAGAAAATATGTAAATAAATAAAATAATGTATACAGACAGATGAAATGTAGAAGAATTTGGAAAGATATGCAGAAACGATGCGAAGAAGTGCAGAACAAATGTGGAAGAGATGTAAAAGAAATGTAGAAGTGGTACGGAAAAGATGCGGAAACGGTAAGATTCAGATGCGGAGAGGTACAGAAGAAATGCGAAATTAATACGGGAGAGGTGTGAGAGAGATGTGGTACTGTTGTAGAAAAAGTGCAGAAAAGGTACATGAAAGATGTGGAAGAGATGCCAGAAGGATGCGAGAGAGATGCGGAAAAAGTGCAGAAGAAGTGCAGTAAAAGTTCAGAAAAGATGTAGAACAAGTGTAGAAAAGGTGTCGAAAAAGTACAGAAAAGGTATAGGAAAAGTGTAGAAAAAGTGCAGAAAAAGTGCAGAAAATAAGTGTAAAAAAAGTGCAGAAGAGGTGTAGAAAAGATTCAGAAAAAGTGTAGAAAGTGCTGCAAAAAGGTGTAGTAAAAGGGGACAAAATTTTGCGAAGACGACGACGATGACGTATCTGAATGAATAAATGACATAAATTGGGCTGAAAAATACGTGCACATATTCATATCTAAGCATCAAGTACACTTATGGATATGATTATTATCTTATTTTAATTGTAAAAATCTATATTCTTCCCCAATATATGCATTTTTTAATAACATCAATTTGTTTAAACAAAGCAACAATTTTTAATTATATAAGCGAGTTCATTGCTGTTAAGGATACGCTGTAGCGTCTCTTTCATGAGACATGGTATTATATTATTATGTACTACAAAAATATACTTGACGGGAGCCGCTACCGCGTCTCCTGATTATAAGAATTAAGTGCATCATAGATGTGAAGATATTATTTTCTAAGTATTTTTAACTAATAATTTTTCTAGTAAAAAAAAATAAAATGATATAAAGCATAAAATTGTACCAGAAAAATATGTATTAAAAATGTATGTATATATTTTTTTTCAATATAATCATGGAATGAAAGTTTGTTTTAAAAGTTTTCTAGAAATGAGAATACGTATGCTGTGTTCAAGATATAACAGTTTACTACACGGGAAAAAAACGGTTTTATTGTGGTAAATGTATAAAAACGTTAGATACAGATCTGAAAATAATTTTGTTGGACTACTAAAATAATTACAAATGCTCAAGCTGATTGCTGGAATATCGAAATTTTTGGCATTGCTTATTATGTTTGAATTCCCTACATAATTATTTTGATAGGGTCCAACAAAATTATTTTCAAATCTGTGTCGAATTAAATTTTTAGATATTTCAGTAAAATATTATTCTTTCCGTATACATCTATAAAAAATTAACAATGATGGTGCGCAACAATTTTTGTTATTTTATAGAATACCATGTTATCTTTTTCTTTCTTGTTTCTTTGTAGATGGGCGTATCTTAGAATTACATTCACCTGATGGTGTTCACGAATGCTGGTTGAGAGCCGCTGACAACACGGAAGCGAACGTCTGGTTCAATGCTTTGCACTCGGCGTTGGCAGCCCTCACCTTGAAAGCATTACGACTGGCCTCAGCACTTCCAGATCCGCAGCAGCTTCAGCACATAGGCTGGTTGGCGAGGAGACACTGTCTTCAGGTAAGAGAAGTTCCCGAACAGTCACTTTGAGAAGTATGCTGATACAGGGTAACTTCCTAACATACTATCTTGCAATTTATCCAAGAATATTCTATACATGATACTATATTGACGATCATCATAGAAGCCTTATTTTTGATAAAAATAGGTGTTTACCTTGAAAATATTTATTTTTTAATATGCATTATAAATAAAATGTTTATTGATGACAGCTAAATTTATATAACAAATTTATATGACATAGCTTTTTAATCTATGATTTTTAATAAAATATGATTTATACTTTCTCTAAAATTTAAATAATTTAGTAATTGTCGAAATAAAATTTAATCTTTCGGCAATCATCGTATCCTTAATCCTTCCGTCTGCAATCCGGGTCTTTTTTATTCTGCCCAAGCTTTTTTGCTGTAAAGCTTTCAAAAATGTGGTTAAGGGTGATCTTCTCTTCACGATTGATATATATATATATATATA